CCCCCCCCCCCCCCCCCCCCCCCCCCACCGACCTGCCGAGGCAGAGTCTCTGGGATCGAGGCCCAGGAGACCTCTCAACAGTTTCCACCTGTGGTTCATATGTGCACTGGAGTTTGAAGACCGATGCCTGGTCCTCAGAGGGGATTGTGGTGGGCGCATGGGCAGGAAGTGCCCTGTCTTCCCGCGGCAGGCACCTGCATCTCCCCCTGCTGCCCCGCTGGGCCTTGCCCGGCTCACCCCCTGTTGCCTGCAAGGGCTGTGCACCCCTATCCCTCCCCCAGATCGCCCAGCTCCCCCTTTGAGGGCTGGTGGGGCTCAGACCAGAGCCCTTAGAAGTGCCCTTGATGCCTTGCCCCTCACTGCCCACACCCACATCCGCAGCAAGCCCTGATGGCCTCCTTCCAGAAGACCCTGGGTCCAGAGCATTTTCCATCACTGCCCTTGCTGGAGGCCAAGCCGCAGCCTCTCGAGCCCCTGGGGGTCACAGGTCATCTGCAGGGTAGAGTGGGGCCTCTGTTCCCAGCAATGCTTGGGACAAGGTTATGTGCAAGCGCTCCCACTGTGAGCGTGTGCCTGTGTAATACTAGGTATAGTATATGTAGAAGAAAGATGGAAAGTGCTGGGCTAAGCATGCATCTTGAGTCAGGAAAAGAACAAGAAAATAAGCCTAAGAACACAGGAAGAAGGAAATAATAGGAGGGGAATAGAAAGCAAACATTCGATAAAAAGAACCACAAGTTGCTTATTTTAACAGATGAATGGAATTCAGAAGCTGCTGGGAAATTTGATCAAGATGAAAAGCAGGCCCAAATCGCTATCCCTCGAAAGACATCAAACGTGGAGAGAGAGCTTTTCAAACATGGAGCGATTAGAGCAGGAGAGGTGCCTCCTGAGGCAGGCAGGCCGCCTTCTGCTGCCCAGGCCATGCGCCTGCAGGGGCTTCAGCCTCCTGGGGGGGGGGGGGGGGGGGGGGGGAGGATGCTGTGAGCAGCTTGGTGCCAGCACACTTGAAAATGTCAACTAACTTGGATAAGTTCCTAGAGGGTAAAAAACTGACTCAAAAAGAGGGGGAAAGTCTGAATAGTCCTATAAGCTAGCAAGGAAACAGAACTAGTCAGAACTCCGGACCCAGATGGCGTTCTTGGAAAAGCCCTACCAAACACTCAAGGGGAGAGAAAAGGGAATTTAACAAACTCAGAAGAAAAATAAACATTTCTTGACTTGTTTTATGAGGCCAGCATTTCCTCAAAACAATATGAAACAGGAAAATTCTAGACTAGCCTCACTGGTGACCATAGATGTGAAAATCCTAAATAAAATTGAGGGAGGGGGGCATCTGGGTGGCTCAGTCCGTTAAGCATCCAACGTTTCATACCAGCTCCGGTCATGATCCCAGGGTTGCGGATCAAGCCCAATAACCCACGCTGAGCACAGAGCCTGCTAGAGATTCTCCCTCTCCTTTTGCCGCACCCCCCCCCCCACTTGCCCACGCACACACGTACACCCACATGCAAGCACGCACATTCTCTTGAAAAATCAGAGGGGAAGTGGTGGCGTATAAAAAGGATGTAACCTTGTGTCTAAGGTTGAATCTTAGGTATGCAAAATTTAATGCTGGAAAACGCATTGCTCCGATCCACTGCCTTAAAAAGATAAGGGAGTTGGGCGCCTGGGTGGCACATCTTTTGATGTCAGCTCAGGTCTTGATCCCAGAGTTGATGAGTTCGAGCCCTGCATTGGAGCACCCAGCGTGGAGCCTAGTTAAAAAAAAATTTTTTTTAAGTCAGGGAGGAAAACATATCACTTCAACAGGTATGGGCAAAGGGTTTAATAAAATTAAGCATTCATTCATGATCAGAAAGAATAACCCTTAAGCCAACTACAAACTATTGACAATAGTACCCAAAATGAAGTGCCTCAGATTAAATCAAACAAAAAACACACAAGGCCCCTAGGGGAACCTTATGGAGGTGTTTAGGGAAAGCCTAATGGAAAGAGAGGTGCTCCATGGGCATTGAATGGACGTCTCAGTACCAAGGATGCCAATATTCCTTCTGGTAGGCAGAAAATGTCCTCCCCCCCCCCCCCCCCCCGCAAGATGTGCACAATCCAACCCCCAGAACTTCTGAATCTGTTAAATTGCATGACAAGGGGGATTCAGATTGCAGATGGGATTAAGGTTGCTGATCAGCTGACCATAATGGGGAGGTTACCCTGAACGACCTGGTGGGTCCAATGTAATCACAACGGTCCTTAACAGTGCAAGAAGGGGATAGAAAAGGGAGAAGCAGAAAGTGGTGGTGTGTGAGGGACCCGGTGTGTAGACGAAGGGTCATCAGCCAGGGATGCGGGCTGGATGCGGGCTCCAGAAGCTGGGAGAGGGTGAGACGAATTCTCGCCGGAGTCCCCAGCAGGAGCACAGCCCTGCCGACACCTTGGCTTTATTTAGCCCGGTGAGACCATCTCAGGCTCTGGACCCTAGGACTTGTTCATAAATCTGTGTTGTTTTATGTTTGTGATCATTTGTTACAGCAGCACTAGGAAACCAATAGACTCTTGAAAACTATTTATAGGTTAAATGCATTCACAATCAAAATCCCAGTCAGGTGCGTGTGGAACTTGACAAGCGGGTTGTAAAATTTCCATGGAAGGTCAAAGAGCCAAGAATAGTAAGGAATCTTGAAGGAGAATAAAATAGGATGGCCTGTTTGGGCATCAAGACCTACTTCATTAAGAGTAATTAAGACGCAAAATAGGGTCAGTTAAGGTCGTGATCATGGGATCGAGCCTCTCGTTGGGCTCTGAGCTGATAGTGTGGGGCCTCTCCATCCCTCCCCCCCGCCCCGCTCATGCTCTCTCTTTCTCAAAATAAACCTTAAAAAAAAAAAAGACACAAAATAACACCTACAGAGTAAGTGCTTTAGAATGAAGTTCAAAAACAAGCTCAGCTGAACTATATTCTTCAGGGATCCTTCCACCGCAAGGGGCGAATCTAGAGAAGGAGAAGAGGAAGTCAAAGTGGGTCTACCTCGGGGGACAGAGAGGCAATCACAGGGGCTCTGGGACGCTGGCCACACTCCATTTCTTGGGCGGTGGTGACGTGGGTGTTTGCTCCATAATTTTGTTGAACTGTATGTTTGTGTTTTATGTGCTTTACAGTATGATGTTATAATCCCCCCCAAATTTAACGCATGAAAAATCAGATGACTTCAATGTCAGTTAACAATTCCAGACAATCAAAAAAAGATGGAAAGCCCCCACGTCATTCTTTTAGGCAGCCAGCACTTGAATGCCAAAACCAAGTTCAGGATGGGAGAAAAGAAACCGGGGCCGAAACTTAACGCACAACAAAGCAAAAGCGCTCGACAAAATGTCAGCAACCAGGATAGAGCAGCGGGCGATAGTATCATATGCGGTGACTAGGCAGGGTCTGCTCCAGGGACAAGGATGGCTTCCACAGAGGGCCGCCCAACCCGTGTAACTTGTCCCATCACCAAACCATATCCGTTTGTTCCAGAAAGAAATGTTAAGACACGGCCGACATCCCTAACGGAAACGAGCTCAGAAGTAAAAGGGAGAAGCTTCCCCACTCCAAATGATCCCATTTCCCACCAAGCATCAGAAAGGAGGCTTTTGCGGACAAGCAGGAAGGGCCAGGAACGGGGACCCCAAAGTCCCCCGGATTCCACAGGTGCAACTGGGAGACGCTGAAACTCACTTAGGGGCTCGTGAAAGTCATAATGTCCTTGCTGTCCTGCCACGCTGGCCCGAGTTCCATCACAGACCCCTGGACAGAGACGTGTTCGAGAAGGCGCCCACTCACGACCAGCTGCCCTGTTAGAGCGAACAGCGGGACACAACCCACATGGAGCCGGGGGAAGGAGGGCCGAGCAACTGTGTCCATCCAGGCGGATATTCTGCTCACTCAGTGAACGGCCAGGGCTGGGTGTGCTGACCGGCCACATCCCACAGCTGGGCTCAGTGGCTTCCCCACCCCCCTCCCAGAGCTGAACATTCACCCAGCCTGAGACCCCGTGG